TAGAAAAAAATTAAAAAGGAAATACCTTCGGGAACACAAAATATGCAACGCGCTTCTTGTTGAGACCAATATCCCATCGAATAGTAAGATTGTCTTTACTTTGAGACTCTTTCATCATCTACCAAACAGAAAACAAAATTCCAAAGCTTGTAAGCATACCCTCAAGACACGTATAAACTCCTCTTAAACAGCAAAAGAACAAGATGAGCAAATTAAAAAGTATCACATCTTTGCTCATGAGAAACACAGAGAATAGTTACTCAGACATGTCTTAGTTCAATTGTCACGAAGATTAAGAACCAAGAAGAAAAAGTCAATCAAGTGTAAATGCAATTGTCATCATAAATTCAGCACTTCTACGAAGGTAAACTTAAGAAGTAACAAACACACAATCCAAAAGCAAAAGTGAGAAGATGCAGGTAGCTTTAAATAAAAATACATGATATTTCAGGATCCAACAAAAAGCTAAGAAAATAAAATAGGATTAAGCATTCAGGCTACAGCATCTAAAATAATCTTAAGATCCTGACATACCTTATCATAGTCAGCTTCAAGCTTGATCAATGGTGCAAATATGTTTTGATACTACATTAAAAGTGTCAAGGCAAGCATTGTTAAAATGCCAATACTAAACCAGGGGCAACTCACAACTACAAAGCAGAGTAATTCCTGCAATGCATCTATACAAATAAAAGGTTAAGGAGATAATATAATAGTATCACCCAGCGAGAACCTGATAGGCATCTTCATACTTCAAGGCAACAGGCTGAGGCTCATCATCCACACCAGGCTTCTCAAGATCTTCCAGGGTAGCATCAGGATTTGTCTTCCACAATTCTTCTACTTTGTTGATTTGTTGAGCACTGATCTGGCGCGCTCTCAACTGTTCTTGCTCGGAAGGGACCTGCAGCACTCCACACATCACAAATACAGGACAGAAAACAGAAAACGAAAGGAACGGAAGGGGAGACTAAGAAAGAGAATCCGGACCTTAACAAGCCACTGTAAAAAGCACCTGTCATCAATGAGTGGGCACCACTGACTGAGGTCCCAGTTCATATCCTTTAATGCATTAACACTTAGACAAGGTTCTCTACAGAGAAGAACGACGACACTCTCTGTCTTGGCAGAAATGAACCCAAGAAGAAAGACATTTCGGCATCCACAATTGTAGCACTCTAGAATTGTTTCTCCAAGTGGACTATCTTTATGAAGACACACCTCCTTGTGTTTTGCTCGCACCTATTGGGAGAAGAATGTATACAACGTCAACCAAAAAAAAAAACACAATAAATCCCTTGTTTCTGGAAATAATATCATAAGACACACCAATTGCAGGAAAAGTCAAGAGGAATATAACTCTCCAATGTAAATCCATTAAACATAAGTGGCCAATCAAACTGTCTAGAATGGTGACACTAACAAAATATAACATGCATTTAAGATTTTGTATTTCGACAGGAAATTCCCACAATTTTGATCATCTAGAGACAATTAATTCCCTTATAAACTAAGAAAGGTGATGCTTTGGCTTTTCTTCCTAACAAACATGTAGAAAGTTTCCCTTTCAACTTCTCTCGCATGAGTAAATAAGGAACTATGGCAGGGATGAAAATCGCATTATTCAGACAAAAGTCAAAACCTTTGTTTTATTGGGATAAGAGTTTATCTTATATCCAAGAGATCGCCCAGCATAACAGAGCTGGAAATATACATTACAAAAGAAAAAGAGAGAGAGAGAGAGAGAAAACCATGGCTTGTCCACTAAACTAATCATGAACTGAGGAAATCTAGAGTTGAACTCTGAGGAAACTCCTTCTGTAATTCTGTTAAAAGATTGATGAAGCTAGATATAAATCTACTATTAGCATTTTTGTATCAGTCAGACCAACCACTTGTGATTATAGATTTCTTAATAACATTTTTATGGTAACTGCCTCAATTTCATTTTCTGAATGTATGGAATCCCATTGGGTCATATTACTAAAGCTACTGACAACAGATCTGAGAAAATAGGCAAAATTGTCTTTCCAACAGTAATCACCTACTACTAAAATACATATCAATTAACATGAACAAGAAACAGAATGAAGACTAATTGGCTAGTCGTGTATGATCACTACGTCAAAGGTATTTCCCATTCATACTTCCCCTGTTCCCCATGTTTAACCGTGTCATACTTTTTCATCACACAAGTTCCCAGAGAGAACAGGGAGGGGCCAGGGACGAAAGGAGACTACCACATTATCTGAAACACGCCCCTGCCAGAAGAAATCCACTTCTTCTGCAGCACCCACTCTTTCTGCAGCTAGTGAGGCACAGCACTGCCTTTTGCTTAAACTATATATACCTCTACCAAGTCCAGGGGAGTAGTGGGTGTGAGCTTTCAGACTTAAATCCTGCTTTCGTTAACAAAATGCGGTCAGAAAATTTTGCTCTTCATTCAATCACTATAACTGGAATCATCTCAATTCATCATCCAAATGAACTACAAAAGGAAAAACCAATGCATTTTCAGCTTACCAAGGACATGGCCTTGGGTAAGAGGATATGAAGGTCGCAGATAATAAGGGTCGAAGGTTTATAGGTAGTGATGTTGTCTCACTTTCCAAGGGGATAGGCTTGGTGGTAATTTGATGCATTCTACCTGTTTCTCCGTTCATACCAGTAGTAGTAGCATTAATCTTGAAGTTTATTTCTGCTACTGCATTGTTGTTTCCTGTGCTTCGGTTATTGTGTTATTCGTCTGTTATTACTATACCTTGTTTTCTGAATACTATGTAATGTTTTCCTATGATTGAAATGTCCTCTTTTCTACTGTATTTTCCTTTTCAACCTGCTTTGATATGTGATACTTTAGCCAGTGCCCTCCCCATATGTATGTTGTTCTTGTGGATGATGATTTATTTTGTCTTTTAATACAAAGCTACTCATCAAAAAACAAATTACTTATGATAATAAAGCTATTGAGCACAAGGAAGAGAGCCATTTACTAATCCAGAAGAATCAAAATAAGCTAAAATTAAAATGCAGATATCTCCTCTTACATACCAGGTGATTAACAATATGTGAGCCCGAAGTGTTTCCTCTGGAATTACAGAACCACTTACGGCAAGATGGCACATTGCACCTAACTACACAAGCAGGATTCGTCACTCCACAGTACTTACAAGCATGCTCAACCCCAAAATCCCCTTTTCCATACTCAAAACCCTCATCATCCCCTGTCTCTTCAAAATTCAACCCACTCATCCCCGCTGCCAATGCATCCACAACCGACGCCTGATTACTACTACTACTAACATTACTATTCCCACCTCCACCCCGTGATTTCGTCGACGGCGACGCTTCCGACGATGGAGGCCGATCAGGTACTTCAGATACCAGAGAATCAGACGGTGTTGGCCACGCAGAAGATCGAATTGGCTGTGAAAGCTCTTGAAATTCAGGATAATCAAACTCTTCCCCTTGTGTGTTGAATTCCAGAAACGTGTATGCGTCGTTGCCGGTATCCGGCTGAGACGCCGTGTCGTAGAGATTGTTCGGCTGAGAATCCATAGTCAAAAAAAAATCCTTCAACTGCTTCTTACACTGTATACTTTTTTTCACCAAAATCAAAAATTGTTTATGAAAAACTAGCGCTAAAGGTTGGATTTTTGCATGAAATTGATGAAAATTTTGGATTTTTCGCAGTGAAATTTCTGTAGACTGTTCGAATTTTAGGGTTTGGAAAAAAAATGGGGAAAGTTAGGGTTCGGTGAAAGAGCCGATGAAGAAGAAAAAAATATGATGAATATTCTTTTTTTAAGGGAAAAAAATTAATTGTACAACTAAAATGTCATTATATTTAACTTTTTATATTATTACTTTAATCATAATTAATATTAATATTTATTTAACATAAAAAAATAAAACGTACTTTATTTTATTTTATTTTACTTTTTATATAATCGATATTTAATGAAATCTCAAAAAGTAAGAATACGAAGAAAATAAAATATATGTGGCCTATAAGGTGTTCAGATACATTTTATTTTAAGATAAGAAGTTAAATGAGTTATAATGTAATTTTATTTTTTATTATTTAATCATAATTAATATATTGTGTTTTAAGGTATAAAAAAAATAAATGTGTTAAGACGTTATTTTACTTCTAACTTCTTATAGTAAGTATTATTTAATTAAGTGATTAATATATTCTACTTTAAGATTAGAAAAAACTTAAATGTATCAAAACGTTTTTTTTTTTGTTTAACTTCTTATAATATTATCTTAATCATGGTTAATAGACTATTACAAGAAAAAAAGATTAAATATATTTAAAATGTTATTCTATTTCATTCAACTTTTTTAATCACAAAGATATTTGCAGTTGCTATTCTTTGGATGTGTTTAGGGTAAAGTTCTTGTTCATATACAATAGCTCGCAAATCACACAGAAAAAATAATCCACACTAGGCCGTCCTTATTATATTTGACTTCCTAGAACGTAATAATTGATTAATCACCAACTAAAATTGTTGGTTTCATCGAGAAGTTAACTAATAATTGATATGATTGTAATGTTGGTTCCAGTGACGGATCCAGGATTTTCATTCAAAAAGTTCGAAAAATAAAAATGTAAACTTGTAAATATGAGCCCTTTGAATTTTTTTGGGTTTAAAACCACACTTTTGACACATTTTTAAAATAAAAAATGCTTGAAAAAACAAAAATAAACTGAAATTATAAAAGAAAATAAATGAATGTTGTTGCACGAATTTGAACTTGGGACGTGCAGTTTAATATTCAGGGGTCTTACCATTGAGTCATCTATTTTTATTTATTATTGAAGGGTTCAAAATATAGACATCTATAAAAATATAGAAAATTTACCTTATATGTATTGTGTATTTTTTTGCCGAGGATGTTCGGGTAAATACCCTGAACCCAACGTGAATTATGTCAAGTACAAAATTGTGTTCGTTAGGGAGTGTTTTACCTCCTAATGTAAGATTTCCTAACATGAATTCAAACTTTAAAGCAAATATCATAAAATTAGGTGTAACCAACATCATGCAGTTTTGCTGTACAAATTGTCACTATCTATGCAATAAAGTACACTCAATTGTAAACATAGAATGTGAGTAAGTTCTTTGTCCAACTTTCACCTCTTAATTGTATATGCCTCATGTTGTAGTCTTTCTGGTGGCAAACTTCTTGTCAATCTCCTCAAGAGCTGCCCATAACTTTGGATCTTCATAATCTTTAATAAGAAAAACAGGTTTTGCTTCCATAAGTAACTGAGATGGATTCCGGTTCGCCAAACCAATGACAGACATTCCAGCAGCCACCCCAGCTTTTATTCCTGAGACAGAATCCTACCCATCGAACAAACATATAATAAGTTCGTAAGATGAAACCGAGGTTAAATTCATGGATGAAACAACAACAATATTCACATTGTGGGACCTAAGTAGGGTAGAGAGTACGTAGACTCTACCCATACCTTGGGAGGCAGAGAGGTCTATCTCTATCTCCGTTTCTGATAGACCTTTGGTTCAAGGAGAAACAGATACTGGAAGTAAAAAATCTATTGCAAAAAACACTATAGGAAGCATGGCAAAGCGTTCTGGAAAAAGGAACGGTAACTACAGCAAGTAATACAATAATCGAAGTACGAGATATGTCTCACAAAAAAAAAGTGCCTGAAAAGCTGTCTAATCCCAAAAAACACTAGTAGACTACCAGTTGTATAAGAATGTGATGCAGGTATAATCACGTCAACAACTAACCTTACATACTATTCATGTCACTACTTGGAGAAAAAAACTTTTTCGACCTACTAACCTAATTTGTGATGTCTTTCATCATGTGTGACATATGATTATTATTTTCTTTTTTTTTAAGTGGGCCGGAATTGGGTTTTTATTCTGTCTAGTGGTGTCACTTGGATATTATGTAAAGTGAATTGATACAATGCTAGATGTATAAAGTTCCCATGTAGGTGTAGTCGCGTCTGGAACTCACTTTACATACTATTCACATCACCACTTAAAAACAAATAAAAGAACTCATTAAGTAATAACCAAATATCTGATGCCTTTCACACCTGTGGCACATGATCATCAACTTTTTATTTTTTAATTTGGTGCCACAAATTGGAAGTTGGACTCCGATGAAACTGATAAGGAAAACTGGAAGAGAAAACAGAATATACCTCAAATACAAATGTGTGATCTTTTGATACATTCAACACTTCAAGGGCCTTCAAGTATGGATCGGGATATGGTTTTGCATGCTTGCAATCACTTCCAAGAATAAGTGCATCAAAGAAATCAGCAAGGCCAACTTGATTTATACATAGTTCAGCATTAGCTCTAGGTGCATTGGTAACTGCAGCTCGTTTCAGACCATGATCTTCTATCCACTTTCTCAACTTGTAGAGACCATTTTGAGGCTTCAACTGTTCTTTTGCCAACCTATGTTGTCCATCCAAAAGAGAAATGAGATTGGCGAAATGACATTGAGCTTATAGTTAAATTGCATAACACTAAAATCGAAGTGGAACTTAAGCTATTGTTTTGATAAAGAAATGGGACTTAAGTTATTCTTTTTGATCAAGTAAATGGGACTTTCATTATTTAAACTGAAGAACCAATATACTCATATAAAAACCTTTCCTGAACATATTGTAGAATTCTTTGCTAAGGATTTTCAGGATACCCTATGGTTATTCAAGGATCCTTTCATGCATTATGTCACGTATCAAGGAAAATTATTCTAACTTCAAAAGGCCACTTCTTTTGCTTAATAGATGGAAATTTTACTTTGTTGGTTTTTGGCAATGTCATTTTTCTCTATGCTTTCACACGCGGAGGATCCAATTTTTTGCAGGACCAAATGTAGTCAAATCTATTATAGCAGGTTACCAGTTGATTGTTATCATAGAGATCTAATTGTAAACCTTATTAGTGAACTGATTTATAATGCAAGTATTTTTTAAAACTGTAAATGCATAAAACCAAAATTTAACTCATTGAAACAAACAAGGTATGGTAGAGAAGTTAAAAACCTTCTAAACAAAGCTTCCTTGTCATCCAAGAATTTTACACCCCGTTCGTGATCATTAGGAAAAAGTACAGAGACAAGATCATCATTGTGTTTCCCAGAAATAGTCTTGACAAACCACTCCTCATCAACTGGCACTCCCCCATTGTATCCTATCTGTTGAAATTAACCCAAATTGCAAAGGGAATGAAAATCATGACTTTGAGATTTTGGATGTGTTTTGGTATGAAGGAAAATATTTTCTAATTTTCTCATGTTTGGTTGGTCAAAATGTTTCGGAAAACATTTCTATGGAAAAATAGCTTTCTTAAAAATGAGGAAAATGGCTTTCCTAGTGATAGTAAAGAAAAGAAGTTCCACACGTAGAATTTCAAGTCCATTGTCTTCTCGCATAACAAACCCCCACTGCCTCTATTCCTCACCACGCTCCCACTTCATAGTGTTTTCCTATATTAGATATTAATGCTCTTGAAACAATATGTTTCTGTTTACTTACCAAACACATAAAAAAAATTAAAAATTTATTTTCCAAGATATTTTTTTCATGATAAACATTTTTCTTCATACCAAATACACCCTTAGAGCTAACAATTTCTTCTTCTTTTCTCCATTGTGAACTGATGTAGCTTTTTATCTACAGGAAATTATCATAGTAATCAGTGCATACCTCCAAAAGCATCTCACGGAATGCAAGATAGTGGAATGGATCTGAATCACATAAAGTTCCGTCAATGTCAAATAGTACGGCTTGAAGAGGAGCAAGCCTTGCTAGAGTGGAAGAACTGCTAATTAAGACAAAATAAAGCAGCAATTAGATATGCTCTATTGGTCCGGATCACACAAGAATCTCAAAAAGAAAAGAACCGTTACAATATTTTAAGCCTGAAAGAGTAGAAGGATTCCAATATATAAGTTGACAGTTAGAGTAAACATACTCTAACTATGATGAATCCTCTGAAAACTACTGGTTGGAATACAAATTCCACTATTTGATATCCCAAATTATACCCGCTTCAAACACAGAAAAAGAAGAAGGATTTCAATAGATCAAGGGTAATAGTAACTTGTGATGATTCCTCAGAAGATTGAATTTAATGGAATGTGCCTACCTAGTTATAATTTTTTTTTTCCTTCTGGATATAGGAAAGTCGGTAAAGATAATATGAAAGAAAATAATATGACCAAAACCAGCGGAAGAATAGATAGTTACATAATCCATGTGTGGGAACAATGAGATTTGACATTTCAAAACTTCCCAGATGGGTGAGAAATTAAATTTCAATCAGATCTCCAAATGATCATTAGGAGACAAAAATTGCAATTATGCAGAAAGGGAATGGATCTCAATTGACATTGCAATCAAATAAAATGTTGCAAGAAGATAACATCCCAATCAAACTGTTGGTCAAAATACAGAATGTCCCTTAAATATAAGCAAAAACGAGGACCAAAAATTTCACCTTTCCTTAGAGTTTTCCCCAATAGAAGTGGCCATCTTTTTATGATCGGTAATACACAATTGTTACGAGTTGTGTAACCTTACATGAACCAACCTATGCTTCGAAAACTTCCTAAAGGATCAGCTTAAACTTGAAACTGTCTCAGATACATAAAAACACAAACAAATCAAATTCATGAAGAATAATACAATGAAAAATTAGGGGTGGAGAAGCTTCAGAATCATAAAAAAAATACTCAATACAAGAAAATAGCACATATGTAACATGGTTGGACCTGAATAAATGGCATAAAGTAAGGGACTTGCATCAAATTTGTAACAAAACAAACTTAAAACTATCCACTTAGACATTATATTTCCCTTTCATTGATTTTCTTACTTGAGAATAATAAACTACAACCTCGAATAACTGTTTTTTTTTCTTCGAAACTGGTAACTAGCCTCTTGAAATTCTGGTTAATGTGAATAGATCCATCATTTAAACCAAATGAAGCATTTTTGTTTCTTTTTGAAAAAATCAGAACATGTAAGATATCTCAATAAGCAACAATTGTTTGATGAGTATCGAATTCAAATCCACAACACCACAGATCAATTTACAAGTCCTATAAATCAATGGCAGAATAAGATTATAATGTACAGGTTCAAGGGAATCAGTACCCTATTTTTTTTTGTCCATACACAGTAAAAATAATTGAAAGTTCTCTAAATGTCTATGAAACATTTGATTCTAAATCCAATTATCAAGTTGTAATCATTTGAGATTGCGGAAAAATCTATAAACTTCAAATTCTGAATCAGCTGAATTGCATAATATTTTTTTTTGTTACAGACTACAGGATGAGAATGAGATTAAAAATATACCAAAATTTGACTAGAAAACCAATTTGTCAGCTCCAACGACGGCGATGCCCTTGCGTTTGACAGACTCAAAAAGCGGCGCCACCATTTGCCGGTAATGCACCGGCCTATTAAGCTCTTCTTCAACATCGATTTCCAAGTTGTGGATTCCGACTTCACTGAGCCGATCTCCGAGCTTATCTCCGACTCTAGAGGCCATCTTCGTGTCCCAGAGATTGCGGCACCTAGGCACTCGATTGAGCTTGGCTCTACACTGTGCTGCGAACTCTTGCTCAGCTGATGAAGCCATAGCTACGATGGTATCGTTGCTGGTGGTTGTCACCTGTGCCGTGATTTTCCGGCAGGAGACGAGTAGGCGGAGGAGATGGGTTCCGGTGGTCATTTACGACGTCGTATAATGAGTTAGATAGACTGTGTTTGGATATTCGGAAAACCAAAAACCCCTTTTCCACTAACAAAGTTATGTTAGATGACTTCTTAGTTAATTTAATTAAAAATATTTTTCTTATTTCGTGAGTTTTATATATAAATTATCAATTATTTTTATATTTTAAATTAAAAAATTTGCATTTAAAAATATTTAGAATAATTTATTAAGAGTCAAATAAATAATAAGAAAGTCTATTTGAACATTTGCTTAATAATGATAATTTTGGGTGTTTTGACTTGTTTGATTTTATATTCACTAAAAATTTATATGCTAAAAATTTCAATTATGAAGTATATTAAAAAATGAATTCAATTAAATTTTTAAAAAAAAGATATGTTATGAATTCAATTATAAAGTATTTTGAAGAGTGAATTTATTAAATTAAAATAGCTTAATACAAGACCAAGAGTCCAAATCTTGAATGGTTTCCATGTCATGAATGATGTGGTAATTGCGTGTTAATTTTAACCATTGAAATCAATAGTTATTATAAATTACTAATTACTTAAGGAAAAAGGTCAAAAATATCTTTAAATTATGTAAAAGAAATAAAAATATCATTCGTTTATAGTTTAACTTAAAATGTCTTTACCATCAATATTTTGACTCAAAAGTGTTGTAGATGTCAATACTGTGGTCCATAAATGTCTCCGTAGTTAAAAAAATGCTCTTTTTCAAAATAAATATATTATTTTTTCTTTTTAAACACATCTTTTTTCTAATTAAAATATTATTAAGGAACACTATATTTTCACTTTCTCTTCTAAAATCACTTTAACAAATAAAAATATAGGAAATATTTTTTTTCTAAATCTCATTTTATAAATTAAAATAGATAATTTCATGTACTCTTTTAATAGATAATATATGCATATATATAAGATCATGGTATATCTATCGTTAATTTATATTTATATAATGATAAAAAAATGTTGATGATAAAATGAAAAATATTTTCATTTTTTTCTGAATTAAAGTAAGATAAACATTTGCTGATTATTTTTAAAAACATTAATTGAAAAAAAAATGTGTCAAAAAGAAAATAATAATAATATATTTATTTAAAAAATGAACTTTTTGATCCATTAAATAATAATAAGGACATTTTTAGATCAAAGTACTGATGGCAAGGGCATTTTTAGACCAAACTACAACCGAGAGACATTTTTATTCCTTTTCCATAGTATAAAGACATTTTTAACTAAAATATTGATGATAAAAATATTTTTAAATCAAACTATAAACAGAGTATATTTTTATTTCTTTCATATAATTTAAAGACATTTTTTTGACCCTTTCCATATTATTTCTCATTGTTTTAATATATGAAACAAAGTGGAAACAAATATTTGACAAAAGAAAATTTAATGGTTGTGCAATCTCAGAGATAGAATATGAAAATTGACTTATTAGGTGCAAGAAAAAAGTTGTATACCTTTTTAATTAAATTAAAAATTTTGGGTCAAAGGTTTAAGGGAAACAAATCTTTAGAAATTTAATCTTTTGATTTAGGCTGCAAATGGAAACAAAAAAGTCAAGAGGTTGACATTTATAATTCTTAACTTGTCACTAATTTACTCTCTTTTTAAGATTTTATTTTTAGATCGACAAATTTTTTCAAAATTTATATTTTGGTTTAGAATGTAAATCCAGACAAAAATAAAAAATTGAAATTAAATTTTAAATTTGTCATCGAAATGATAAATTATTTTAGTTATCAATCAAGTTCGTAATTAGGAATGTGACAACTTACTACCATCTAGTCTAAGATTTCACCCTTACACTATAAGTAAAGGACGTGTAGTAGAAATTTTAAACTTTTAGACTTTAAACATTGTCATCAACATCATAATAGATTTCACAAAGACTAAACTTGAAATTATATATCTGCATATACATGTCTGACAAATTAAATTTGTTTAAACCTCGTACTTAATACTCTAGCTCCGTTCCGAACCGCAAAGTTGGTGAAATAATTAAGGAGATAAATGCTTATATTCTTTAAGGCTGCAAAAGTTGGTAAAACAAAATGATACATGCATGTATATTTTCCTAATTATATACAGTTCTCTCTATGTATATATATATAATAATAATAATAATAATTAATGCACAAATACCTAACTCATCCTCCATTTTACTTCTACTACAAGAAAATTCTTGTTTAAATTTGTCTTCCAAAATACAGGAGGAATCTATATGGTTTCATACCAAACAGTAAATCTCATACCATAATTAAATAAAAGTCGCAATATATAAGTGTATTTTTTAAATTGACCTCAATAAGTATCTGAATTCTTCAATTTTGAATATGCTTAGTCAATTAAATGTGTATAAAATTGAACAAATAGATACGCACGTTTAATATGACATGATTCACGCAGTATGTCGTCATATATAATCGTCAGGACGTCACGTCGAGCGTGTCTGTCTATTTATTAAAATTATAGATAAATTTAAGTGTATGCTTGTACACACTCAACGTAAAAGAGCATAAATACCAATACACCAAGTAAAAGACATTTTTATATATTACGCATTAAATAAATTCTACCCACAACCACATCTTAGAAATCCTGGAATTAATTTTTTTTAATAGGAATAATAATTTTGAGAATAATTTATTTCACTTTTCAAATGCAATATAATAACAAGTTTGAAGTATAATATATGACATACTTTATAGAATAACATGTTTAGGCCAAATTTCTAAAAGACAAGAAAATGTGTATTGAATATAAAGACTTATTTTAGAGAAATAAAGGTGTATGATGAAGCTTTTAATAAAACATATTAGTAGTAGAAGTTTTTTTTTTGTAAACGTTGAAAATAAAATGTTTCTTCTATTTTTCGTAGGATACGATTGGACGGTATAAAAATATCATATTTAACAAATTAAAATTAGCAGTT